ACAACCAATTATATGCAACATTTATTTGATAATAGCTCGCAACTCTATGGCATGTTTATTTTATAACGACTTCTTATTCATTTAAAATGAGAGACTTGAGGGCTCCAAGTTGCAGAACGTTGTCTAATTGCTTTGATAGCTCAGACATGAGACAAATTATCAAAGTGACAACGTTTAACTGCCAGCAACGTATCGCCAACCCCTGTTTACAATGGAGGCTGACAGTAATGACATCTGCAGGAACCAACAAACTGTCAGCTTTGGCAAGCACGTTTTATCCACGGCAAAACATTTTCACGCATTGTTTCCTTCTCGTGACTTTATTGTGGTGTTTTAAAACGCGAAACATGACTCACGTGTTAGAATGAGGGGGAAATATGTAGAAAAGAATCAGAATCAGAAAGGGTTTTATTGCCAGATGTTGAGCAGGTTTACAACATTAGGAAATTGCTGAAGATGTAAATATAACTATGAAAGTCTGAGTGTTTTTTAATAGTCCCACACACGCTGCAGATTAATAAAGTTGATAGGCACGCCGCAGATCAATCCCGGAGACGCATTTAAAACAAAAAACAAACCAAATATATCAACTGTGTGTTTGGAGAATGAATCTCGGGTCAGTTTCTTTTCTGTAATTCTGTTTCCAGCCTTCAGGCAAACCAAGTTTTCATGTGTCAGATGGTGTTTTGAACAAATTCCTGTTTGAACTATTCTCGGGGCCCAGTAGCCCAATCACCAAGGACAGATTGCAGGCTGTCTTTTGATCCACTCTCCTTTACAAGAATAAAGTCAGATTGTTGGTAGAAATCATTTTTGGCAATGGAAATATATCAGGAAGTCACTTCACCTTTGTTTTCAAATGCTGCCTCCCTTTTCTTGTGAAAGCTGACTTCCAAGTAGTGAGCTGTGAACTGAGATTGTTTAGCATGAAATCAGCTCATTAGTGCCAACACCCAGCAGCTCTAATGCCTCAAATTCCATCCTAATTGTGGGCCTATCCTCTTGTCTGAACCTCTTCTATGTATTTTTTTTTTTCTTGATTTGGACTAAGGAGACCTCACAGTTGCCTTTGGGATGTTCTGTTCAATGCTTCTGCTCTTGTGTTAGCACAAACTTGTTAAAGCAGTTCATTTTCTCTTGCAGAACTCGGAGCTGAAAGCTCTTAAAAGCCTTCGAGCTGTTCCATAACAACCGTATGAGCTTAATGCAATAATGTCGTTGCTCATTTGTCTCTGCTTTCCTCAACAGATCTTCCTGCTGGCCTGCCCGCCATGTAAGACAGCTATGGTTGTGTTCAGGTGAGCGTACGTGCACTCCTGGGTTCTTCCTGTTTAGTGTTTTCAACTTGTCGTCTACATTTAAGTTAAACTTTAAAGGTCTGAATTGGCAAAATATAGAGTTTTTTAGTGCAGACTGTAGAAAGGCCACGACTGCCATATGAGCCGCTTGTCCTGCTGAATGTAACGTCTAATGACTGGGCAGACAAAGCTCATGGTTTTTGTTTTCATATAATCCAAATTGTGGTTGACGTTGATTGTAATTACTTATTGGTTTCCCCCATAGTAAGCAGTTGTATAGTAATGTATTTGTTTGGGTTTATAGTCTCCTCTTCAACAACTCATCCGGTCTGAGCAGTTAATTATTCAGGAGAAATGACTCTGGTTTTGCCGGTGGGAACACGATGTGGGATTTACTCAGAAATAAATACAAGCAGGGTCACTTTCTATTCCAGTAGCCCACGGGAGCCTCACAGTGAACACAGTGTACCGAGTCATAGCAACTTTATGAAACCACAAAAAGCTGGTTCTTACATGGGATAGAAATGTGAAACATGCCCCAATAAATATCCAATCGTTTGAAGAATTACTGAACTGCCAACATTATTTATCCACCAGGTCAAGATGTTCGTTCACATAGTCGGCTAGTTCATTTGTTGTCGTAACAACATATTTTAATTTGTCTCATTTATGTAAGAAATAGAGTCATGGCCTTTTGTTCGAGGCGCTTGTCATTTGTTTGTGTAAACATGGCATTTTACTCTGTGATGGTGGTGTGGAACCAGGCCCACTAAGTGAAACATGCAAACCTCAAGTTTATTTCACCACATTTACAGTTTCAAAGTGACTGGCGTGTAGAATGCCCCAACTAATCCTGCTACCCACCAAAGAGGGTTTGGTCTTCTACCTGCAATGAGCACAGCACATAACAAGTTTAAAATAGATCCTTTTTTTATTATTTTTATATTTGACATTTTTGACGTGCTACATTTCCTGTGACTGCTTCACAATAACAGTCACTGTGCCTTTCTGTAATGTGAAGTAGTAGCTGCTGGAAACGTTTGCTTGTTGCGTGTAAAGCTCAGATTCTCCTGCAGTAGCAAATGGTAAATCTATGTTTAAGATTACATCTTTATCCCTTTTATGTATGAAGGCAGTTCAACAACCACTGGACTGTACTTGCCAAATAAAAATTGTAAAATTAGCAGGAGCAGCGTCATATTAAATAGTTACTACATAAAGTAGAAGTTTACGCTACAACAGTATCAGAGGTTCAGGTCTTGGCCTATGACATGCAATTAATTACAGTGATGGAAAAATATAAGGTCGCTAATGCTCGTTACGCTTTGTAAATTTTGAATTTGAATGAACCGCTTTTCAGAAGAGTGACAGCCGGACTTATTTGAAGCGGCATTACTTCGGCACTGCTGTTTTCCCGGCGACCTCGTCTGTCACAACAGTTATTTTGGCTCATTTGACAAAAAGAGCAGTCACAGGAGATAGATGGAGCTCCACACTCTGACACACATGCTCCTTGGCTTCTGTTCTGTTTTTGGAGCCTCTTAACATTAATGTTAGTTCAAAAGACACATTTTTCCTTATGCTGGGTTTATTTATACAGGTTTACTAAATAAGCATCGCAGCTCCCACTAGGAGCAGATAGGCTATATGTGTGCGCTGGATGGTGCAACTAAAAGCTTCAAACCAAATTATACTAATTAGTCTGAATGAGTAGATGGATGCACTGATTTGTTAAATCGTGACATCAAAGCAAATTTATTTTGAGAGTGATTGCCTGAAACTTTACTGACCTGACTTTAGACAATAAGCGCTCCCACAAGAAACTGACCTTGACAAAGAGTAAGAGACAGCTGCTGCTAACAGCATCAGGGAGGAGTCTGATTGGTTTTCGGCAACATGGGATAGAATCTAAGCTGTCCTCCACCTGTTCCTCTGTCCCTTATATCAGCTGGAATTGATTCATATGTCAGTAGTGGCAGAGTTTTCTATGGGTTGAATGCTTTGGGGAGGGCAAATGGCCTGCAGAAGTCAAGAGGGGAGTGTAGTAATAACAGCCCTTTTCCGTCCCTCTCCTATTCTGTTTTTTCCTCTTTTCTTTCATTGATGATAAATCTGAAAGAGATGCTTTAGACAGACTCACACTTGTTAGAAAGCCTTTATTGTTTTAACCATAGCTCAACCCCGGTAACTTCTCTCCTCTGCGCTGCTCTGTGTCTGGAGAGGGAAGAGAGCAAAGTGAAACCAGAAGGGCAGGAGAGAAACTAACATGACTCAGAAAGGTTTACACAGATTAGGTAAATAGCAAGTGACCTTGTAGGTATTTTTAATGTCTGTCATTTTTATTGTTTTCAGGCTGCAGGTCCACATGTTGAATGGTGCATTACTTGCTTTAATGTTCCCTGTAGTCAACACCAGACTGGTAAGTAGACCGTGATCTTCAGATCTCATTTATGAGCAGCCCTCTTCTAGCCTTTGTTAGGTCTCCAAGGTGTACAAGGTTAAGTGTCGCACTCACTGAGCAGCTAAACGAATGTTATCACTTACCTCTGGAACGGCGATGTTGTGTTGAAAAAGACTACACTGTGTCTGTGCAGGTATCATTGGTTTTCCTCTATAATATCGTAAGCTCTAGAACTTGCTGTGTAAAGAGACCTATGATGATGATTATGTTATGATTTGGCGCCGTATAAAACGATTGAATTAAAATTGAAAGCTCTGACTCACTCAAGGCGCAGCTTGAGTGGGTGCAGGAGATATTTCACAAATTTAAACTTGATCTGTTTGAATGAAGTCACTTTGATAAGTTTTAAACTTAAAAAAAACGCAGCATAGCCATTAAGACTAAGTGCTTTTCCTTTTATAACATTTCTCACAGAAATAAGGCTGAGCTGTTCTGCCATATCTGCAGTTCCCTATCAGATAAACTTGTTTTTCTCAAGCAGGGAATGAAGGCTTACACAGCTGTTTTGCATTTTATAACATCAATAAACTTTATGTCAGTATTTCTTACAGAGCACAGTAAACTATGATTGCACCCTGAACATTACGTGCCTGCCAACCAACAGGAAAAGAGGCAGTTTACATCAGTCACTTGTAAATTAAAAAAAACACTGTGGACAAAGATCTCATGTGTTTCTTGAGTTATACCATTAAAGGGAACCCGTATTATGCTTTCGTGGCCGACACAGTGGATCATCTGTCTCCATCTAAGCCTGTTCCTACCATTCTCCTCGGTCACACCAACCCTTTACATGTCCTCCTGCTTTACATCCATAAATCGTCTCTGTTGCCTTTTCCTGCTGCCTGACAGCAGGACAAACAAAGGGTGTAGCCATATTCAACATCTGTTGTTCAATATTTGCACTGCATCTGTCCTCTGCACATATCTAAACCATCTCAGCCTTCCCTCTCTAACTTTTGTCTTTAAAATGTCCATGAGATTCACTTGTTTCTAAACTATCCATCTATCTTGGGCTCTGCAGCTCTTCCTGCTGTCTTTTTGGTTGTGCCACTGTTTCGAAACCAGACATCATAGCAAGTCTGACTGCAATCTTGTAAATCTTCCCTTTCACTTTTGCTGCCATTCTTCTTTCACAAATCACCGCGACACTCGTCTCCACCCACTCCACCCAGTTTTTAAAAAAACCAAAAAAACATGGTCAACATATGTACACGTAATCCCTGAGAAACGAAAGCTCCGACTTCAAACTGCTGTAAACACTCAAGTTTCATACAATTTTATTATTATTATTATCATAGATTTTGTATGATGACAGTGATCATTAATGAGGCCATACATTGTTAGAAGAAAGGTGCCTTATAAAGGCAGCTAAAATAGACAGACGGTGTACCTGCTGTTCTTCCATCTCTTTGTTCACTTGGGTAATGTTCTGTCATGGTTGCTTGTTAAGCAGTAGCATAGCTGGAGACTGTGAGGCCACAGGTCTTTAAGATTTCAGGGCCCAGAGCAAGTTGGGGGCTGTTCTGCTGTATCTGGGTGCTGTAAAAGAATTAAAATGGTTTGTTTGCTTTTCATTTTCTCAGCTGCCATTTGAGAAAGAGATCTATTACATCCAGCACTCCATGATGTACCTGGTGCCTGTTTATCTTTTCAGGAAAGGAGGTAGGTGTTTCTTCATTCTGACTTTTCACATGTCAGCCGAGCAAAGTGATAATATCTCCATGGATGGATTCACTTTTTGTCTGTGGCATTTGAGATGCTGTGGATACCAGCTTTTTGTTTTGTCTGTTCAGTGTCTGTTAATGAAAGATTGTTTGGTCATTTCCACTTACATAGATGATACTGAAGAGCAACTATAAAACCAGTTTAACTAAAAGGAGTTCTCTAAAGAGCTTGGAAGGAAAAGCGTCTGGACTTCTTTAAGTTGCTTGAAGACGTTTCACTTCTCATCCGAGAAGCTTCTTCAGTTCTAAGTTCAAATGGTGTCGAATCCCAGATTTAACATGTATCCTAGGGGAGTGTCCCCCCAAGAGGGTCATGAACTCCCTGTTGATCCTCTACCTCAGGGGTGTCAAACTCAAATACACAGTGGGCCAAAATTCAAAACTGGAACAAAGTCGCGGGCTAACATTAATATTTATTGGAGAAAAAAAAAATCTTCCTCCAGATATAAGAATCAATCTTTTCTTATGGACTCAGATAAGTTTTGCTGGAAAACTGAATATGGAACAAGCAAAGCTTAACGCTAAACAATATATATATTAGCTGTATAATACCAGTAGGTATTAATAGTACTCTAATAGTAATTTGGTATGGCTTCGCGGGCCAAATGTAATTAGGCGGGCCAGAGTTTGACACCTATGCTCTACCTAATCACACGAGCCAAGATGTGAAAAGGGGTGTAGGTCACAATCAGCCAAGGTTTCGGGTGAACCCGCTATAAAAACCTAGCTCTTTAGACTACAATGACCTGGATGACACAAAAGGAGTCTCATACAACCATATACAGGAGGCCTTTTAATACAGCTAACTTTCAAACAGCACTACTAAATTGCTCAATCTCTATATAGCAGATTTCATACTGCTTATGGCTGAAAGTACTGCACCTCTTACACATTACATCTATAGGAACTGCCATTGGTGCTTAATGTCAGAGAAACCCATACTACGAAGCACCAACTGCAGTTTCTGTGCTGACGATAATGTCAGAGGAGGTTTGGGACTCTGCAGTTATCATGTCAGCCAGCAGTAATTTTGACAGCAAATTTTGATTTAGTTAGGACCTATTTGGACCATTAAAACAAACACACACACACACACACACACACAGGGGCAGATCAAATGTGCTCATCCAACCTTACAGTACGAGGAGATCACTTCCAAACTTGTCCTTTCTTTCAACACAACTTGATTATGTCTGATTTGAATTGCATCTCTCCAGAATATTTTCGTAAAATGTTTGATCACTGAAGTGTCAGTACATTTCATCATAGTTTTTGCCCTCCTACATTTGTTTTTATTTAGCTATCTTCTTATTTTCGCCCGATGATAAAAGTCATGGACAAAAACTATGACGAAAATCATTGGTCAACAAAATTAACAGTGGTGTCAGAAGAGTGTTGGTGAATTTTGCATATAGTGCATTTCAACAGTTGTGAACCCCACTCTGTAGCTTGGCATGGGCTGAAGTTTCTGTCGCTCCTAGATGCAATAAGACCTTTTACAGATAACTGTGAAATTTCATCCCTCCCAGACATTTCAAACACTGACTTGTTGCAACGGTGGCTTCGTATTACAACAGAGCGAGTACCGAGCTCTGTAAAACAAGCTATTTTTCTGCAAGTGTTTGTGTATGTGGTAATAGGCGCCAAAACACCTGAATTTCAAAGATTAAAAGACTTTGTCCCCCTTGTCCATGTGGTGTCCCGACTGACAATGTCTGTGGTAAAACTTTGTGCTTACTTGTAATTGTCCACTAAGGGAAAAACCAGTGTGTCCAAGCCATGTGACTGCACAACTTTGAAAAAAATTCACTGACAGTTATTTTGTTCACACACCATCACTTGAACCCAACCACCAATCCCCATCCCAACCCGTCATGGCAGATGCCTACCCCTCCCTGAGCCGCCTTGTGCCAGAAGTTTCTTCCTGTTTAAAAGGGAGTTTTTCCTTCCCACTGTCGCCAAGTGCTTGCCCATAGGGGGTAATCTTTTTTGATTATTAGGCTTTTCTCTGCATTATTGTAGTGTCTTTACTTTACAACGTAAAGCTTGAGGCCACTATTGTTATGATTTGATACTGTATTAGTTAAAGTTTAACTGAATTATTGGACTAATCTTTTGATTATTTGGCAACAGTAGGTCTATTATGCATTAGACATTATTGAAAGCTCAGTAAAGCACAATAGAGAGCCTTTGAAAGCTGGATATGGACTTGGGTTTAAAAAAGCGACCAGGTTATAGTTTCTGATTCTGGACTTGGTGAGTGATGCCTTTTTTTGTAGCTCATGGTGATCCACACTCAGTTATGTTTACTCTCTGGAAGTTTCACTTCTAGTTTGTTAACTAGTCTTATTTCCTTGTTGTGTGCCTCTTTTTGATTTTGCCAATCTCAGTAAACTAGTTAACATGGTTCCTAAAAATTGTTTATGCAACGTGTTGTGAATGCAGACAGATTTGAACATGAGCACAGCTCTTACTGAAGACATCTGAGCTGTTAAAACCCAGGGGTTGATAAAAGGAACTAAATGAGTGAGTCTAAAGCAGGACATCAGTGGGAGCAACGTTTATTCAACTTTATTCAAACCTTGATCTGTAAGCACAGATGACAGTTCATCTTGTTTAACTGGTAAGACTGACATCGATGCAAATTTTCAAGCTTGTGACCCAGTAATAGAATAGAAGTGCCTGATCATGTTTATTAGCAATGTAACAGTAGAGCTCAACAGATGGGGTTATTTTCTTGCCTATGCAAATCCAATTCCACAAAAGTTGGGATGCTGTTTAGCATATAAATGAATGCAGAATGCAATGGTTTGCAGACCTCAAAGCTGTAATTTCTTCACAGTAGAACACATTTTAAATTCACACATTTTACATGTGAAAAATATTAGCTCGTTTTGACTTTGATGGCAACAACAAAAAGTGAAAATGGGCAGCGGTTCTCCATTCTGCGATAAACTGCATTTCAGATTAATGTTCCTCATCTACAGTGCATCTCTATCATCAAAAATTCAGAAAATCTGGAGAAATCTCTGTGCGCAAAGAACACAGAAAACCAATATTGGAAACCTGTGATTGTCATTCCCTCAGTGTGCATTGCATTAAAAGCAGGAATGATCCTGTCAGAGCCTAATTTCTGTCCCATTCATAAATGCAGCTTAAAGCATCAAATTCCATTACATTTACAGCATGCCAATATCTTCAGAATTAAGGTTGTACAATTAGAGCACATTTGATACGACTTCCTGGTACTTGTCCTCCGAATGCCAGCAATGAGCAAACAGGAAAAGCCAGTTTGACACCATATCCTGTTTCTTGTTCTTTCTGCGGTTCCACTTTCTCTCTATGAACTCTGCTGACGTGTTAAGGACACATAAAAGAGGAAGTGTATAGAAATAGCTTTTGGTTCTTCTCTAGTTTACATGTCGTCAAACAGGTGGCCAGGACTGGCACATATGACACATTTTGTGTGTTTGCTGTCTCTTTAACTCAAAGTGTTTCTTTTTGCAGGTGTGTACAAGCCTGAGCCTCTGGGAGATATGTGGTGGGCTGTGCTCTCTACAGGCATCCTGTTCTTCTATCACTTCACCTTCCTGCAGCTCCTTGGCCTGGTAAGATGGAGCCCTCTGCTGGACACTGTGTGCTATTTCACTATATTTTTATTACACCATCACTGCCTTAGACATAAAGTTGTGGTAAACAGGAATATTTTACAAGCTTTACAATTTAAAAAACAAACAAACTGAAATTGCAGGTTTTTGTTTTTTAAAAAATAATAATAACATAAACCTAAAAAATAGTAGTTACACAGGTACAGAGGGAAAAAAGTATTTCAGCATTGGCCTAGACTGTTAAGGTCTAAGCTTAATGAGCAAACCCTTGTGAAAATACTAGATATTTTTGTTTAGAGTTCACAGTGTAGCTAGAGCTGTTCATCCATTCACCCATCCACTCTGTCATAGGAGGGGTTGGAGCCTGTCTCAGCTGACATTAGGCGGGGTCAACACTATCGCAACCATTTACTCTCGTATCCAACTTAAAATGACCAACACGCATAACTTTGAACTATGGGTGAAAACCCACACGAGGAGAACTATTGGTCAATTTAAAAGGGAAGAAAATGTATATTTGGATTTAAAATTATGGCCTTTTATCTAGAGCTAAAAAACATTACACACTGCAGTTGATAAAATAGAGCTTAGTTAAGTACTCTGGATGATTTCTCATTGAGCAACATGCATACTTTTCCCCCAATATGTCCTGGATAGTTAATCATCTGCCAATTTTTGGATTGGTCTGCAGCAGGCAGCTAAACAGAGACAGCAGGTATAATCATTGTCATGTTTTTAATCCATGCATGTCTGAACTGGTCCCCACAGTGATGCACACATGTTAGGCCTGTTTCTGAACATGCGACGTGTTTATGAACACCAACAAACAACCTCTTTTTCCCATTTTACAAAGTTAATACTTAAATTTTCGCATAAATAATTTACAATAAGTAAATATTGAAACCGAAAGAGCTGATTCAGATCATTTTATACCAGCTTGTACAAGCAAACTGTAGGTGCATTTCCTTTATACTACTCTTAAAAATAATAAGTGAGTAATAAAAATAAACTAAACAGGGTGTCACTGGGGTAGAAAGGGAAGAGTGAGGTTTATTTGTAATAGAAGCAGGAAAATTTGGCAGGCGTAATGAGGGCCAAACTGTGACAGCACAGGCTCAGAGCTTCATGTGGACTGTTGTCAGCATGCTGTTGGTAATACTTATCAAAATTCTTCAAGGAAGGACAACCTGTGTACGAGTTGCTGCAGATGATACAAATATCCTGTTGTATCAAATCCCATAGGTTCTCTATTGAACTGAGATCTGGTGACTGTGGAGGCCAGTGAGTACAGTGAGCTCATTGTTGAAGAAAGCAGATTACGGGGTACGCTGTGATTATAGAAGGATGGACACGGTCAGCTCCCTGTTTGGCTTGTTCATGCAGGCTGTGGTGTTTGAATCGTGCTCACTTTGGTACTAAGGGGCCCCACCTGTGCCAAGAAAATATCCACACCATTACAGCACCAGCAGCCTGAACCACAGTCTGACTCTGACTCTACCATCTGAATGACACAGCAAAAATCAAGAGATCAGACCGAGCAACGTTTTTCTAATCTTCTGTCCAATTTTGCTGTACAGTGAGAATTGTAGCTTCAGTTTCCTGTTCTTAGCTGGCAGCAGTGGTAGCCATCCGGTTAAAGGTTTGACATGCTGTGCGTTGAGAGATGCTCTGCTGAATACCTACAGTCCAGCCATTCTCCTCTGACCTCTGGCATCAATGACATATTTTCACCAGCAGAGCTGCTGCTCACTGGGTATTTTCTTCTTTTCAGGCCATTCTCTGTAAACCCTAGAGATGGCTGCGTGGGAAAATTCCCAGTTGGGTCAGCAGTTAATGAAATACTCAGGCCAACCAGTCTGGTGCCAACAACCACATTCAAAGCCACTTAAATCACCTTTCTTCCTCATTCTGATGCTACGTTTGAACTCAGATTGTCTCTACCATGTCTACATGCCTAAATGGTATTGAGCTGCTGCCACGTGATTGGCTGAGATATTTGCATTAATGAGCAGTTGAACGGGTGTACCTAAAAAAGTGTGTGTGTGACATTGTTAGTCATAAATCCTGAGATATTAACACCTAATTATTGATGATCCACTGATGCTCCCTGTTTGGCTTGTTCACAACTTTAGAGTTTATAGTAAAAATTATGCAGCCTGTTGCCTCCAAATTGATCTCCTATTTTGGACCAACATTCAGTTTATTTTCTGCTGGATGCAAATCAGCATTATTCCCTAACAACAAAGCAATTCATCAGCTTTAAGTTCCAGGGTGTTTCTGGCACAAAGAGGGCAGAGAGTAGCTGCTTGATTGAAAAATGATAGTACAGAGTAATCAATGAATTGTGATTGTAAGGCCCACAGTGCTGATGTTTGTCTTTTCTAGCATGTGCTGACTAAATGGTTGTAAAACCCCTGAAAATCTTTAGTAATTACAATGATACGACTCATTCAACAGCCGGTTAATAAGTCATGGAGGATTTCCAGGCAATGAAGTCTGACATCAGTCAATTAAGTGTCTGCTTTTTGGAGCTGAAATCTATTTGAAGAGAATGATTGTAAAGATATGTACAGCAAAGTCAACCATAATGTTTGCTTAAAAAAATTAAAATGAATTATCCACTGGATAAATTTGGATTCATATTGGCATCAAATTAGGTCTTACTCTGTCTCGTCTCTGCTCTCCTCCAGGCGACTGAGGTCAACTTGAATAACATGCTCTGCCCGGCTGTGTCCGACCCATTTTACGGCCCTTGGTACCGGGTTTGGGCGACGGGCCACCAGACCTTGCTGACGCTCATCCACGGGAAGCTCCTCACACTCCTCTCGCAGCACAGCGGCACCGCCTGCAGATACCTGCTGGACACACTCAGACTGCGCAGCAAGAAAGTTGACTGAATGTCCACGAAGGTGCATTCAGACCTAGCCTTTCACTCCTTTTACTCCAAATGCCTGCTTTTACAGTGTCTTTTTTTTTGTCTTTCTTTTTAAAGCAACATTTTAATGCATCTTTTAAGACTTGTTTCACAGAAACAAGCGAGCATTTCAGGGCCAGTGAATCTTCGTGTCATTCTTTTAGCGTTGTAGTTGGCTTGCATGCACAAACGTACCAGGCATTTTAAAGCTGGCACTTAGAATTGTGGCGTTGGCCAGATTTTAGCCCTTGTTCGTTTTTTTTTTTTTTTTTTGTTGTTGTTGTTTTTTATTTTCAGAAATATGTCAGCGAATTTGTGGCAATTACTCCAGCTGCTTCTTTTTAAGCTTTGAGGACAGAAAATAGGGGTCACCCAAATGTCACTACTGATCTCCAGCTGTTACACTTTTCTGATTGTTGTCGGGGGGGTTTTTAAAGTTGCACTAGATCATATGTTAGCGAGTTTATTTGCTTCAAACTTGAACTTTGGAGCTGAATGAAAATCTGAGCAGTTGTAAAAGTTACTGCCTGTGTATAGCGTGAGGATTTCTGTTTGACACTCTCAGTGTTGTTACGACTGAAAGCTTTCTGGCGTTCTTCTGTTCCCACTTGACTCCACGGCTGTGCGGGTTATGAAAGCATCGCCGTGGAGGTTTCTTTTGCCTTTCTGTCTCCAACTTGTTCAGATCATTCCAGTTGTGATAATCAGGGGACAGGAGGGTGTATTAGATGCTGCGACTCAAAGCAGTGAAAGAGGATCCAGAAATCTACAGTGGGATGTTAATATTATCTCTGTGAAGGAGTTTTTTTGTTTATTAGTCTTTGTTTTATTGTGCCGTTAGACCATAATAAGTGAAGTATAATCTCGAGTGGGAGGAATTCGGTGTTTCCCAAGATAAAGTGTCTTTCTGGGTTGGATTAATGTATCTTACAAAACATCCATTCTCTCCACCGCAACTGTAACGAGCCACACTCCAGTTTGTTTTTAAGAAATGCATCTGATGTTCTGCATCAGGTCACTGTGGGTCATTTATTCATGGCCCGTTTGAAAGGAAGTATTAACTGATAAGTTAGAAGATGTCAGTCATGGTATGTATCATTTCAAATATGAGGGATGTGTGTATATTACTGTAGCATATTCTAAACTTCACTGCAAAGAAGGGATAAGAGGAACTTTTGTATTTCTATCAGTTTGAGTGTATGTGCTGTATTGAAAATAAAGGTGATTGTAGCTCATCACAGTTCTCCTTGTGTGTATGTTTAAGCGTGTATTTTTTGCCTTTTAAGCATGTTGCTTGCGTTAGTATTAAATCTGACTTTATTCTGCTGACGACCAACAGATATTACCACTTTGTGTCTCCGTTAATACCGTGATCATGAATTGGAGCTCGCCAAATAGACTGGCATTGTGGGAAATGTGCATATTGTTACAAAGAGCTGAGAAGATTAAGAGGATTTGCCATGCAGCCAGCATGGAAGTAAAAAGGTATCTAAGCTCTACACTGCAGAAAATGCCCTGCTTCAAACAATATAAATTATAATTCAGGATTTCACACCACAGCGCTCATGCTGATAATGAGGTCCATAGTTTTTTGTGGGGTTTTTTGGAACTGTAATACATATTTTTAAAGTTTTTCCTCTGTGCACCGTCGCAGTGGATTTTAAATCAAGTGTAATGAAAATAGAGACTTTTAGCTTTAATTTAAGGTTGGATAACACAAAATTTGCATCAGTTTTTTAGGAATTTTTGCAGAACTGTGCAGACGCTTTTTGTCTGCCACATTCTAATCTGACTTTATATTGGAGCGGTTTACACCGTGTTTTTACATTTATGGGGCAGGACGGTGGTTAGCACAGTTGCCTCACAACAAGAAGGTGCTGAGTTCAATTCCACCATCACGCCAGGGCCTTTGTGTGGAGTTTGCATGTTCTTTCCGTGTTTGTGTGGGTTCTCTCCGGGTACTCCGGCTTCCTCCCACAGTCCTAAGACATTCAGTTAGTGGGGTTAGGTCATTGGAAACTCTAAATTAGGTGTGAGTGCGAATGGTTGTGTGTGTCCAGGAGACCTGTCCAGGGTGTACCCCGCTGGGATAGGCTCCAGCGACCCTGAAAAAGGAGACGTGGAAGTGAATGAATTAGGCATGTGTTGATTTCACACTGAGACAATTTTAAAGTCTAAAAAGTGTCCTTGGGTGTTCATGATTTGGTTGATGTTGTTTTTCTGAACCAATGAAAGAATACTGTAGTTCTTCTGTGACCTTACAGTGAGCTGCTCACTGCTTTTCTTATTTGCAAGAATGTTTCAGATTGTTGATTTGGCCACTTCTACATTTTTTTTTTTTAATTTATGAGGGCCTCCCTCATTTGTACTCGTATCTCTTCGTACCTCATATTGAGAGTTTTGATGAAAAGCTACAAATTGCACATTTATCACTTGGATCAACTCTATTATCTGCTTAATTTCTCATAGAATAACAAGGGAACCGGTCTGAACCTGCCCTACTTGCCCATCAATTATCCAATTGCTTTTGTCTGACAATGGGAGACTATAAAAATGGATGTAATATGCTTGTCAAATATCTTGAATTTATTTATTTTTAGAAAAAAAATTACCCAGCATGACATACTAAGTTCATTATTTTTATGAATTGACTTAAAACTCAGACAGAACAGAGAGACCGCAAAGTTTAAGAGCTGATCTAATTAAGCTCGCTAGAAATGAGCGATGGAGGTGGCAAAGACCGTCGGCCTATTTTAAAAACCGGTTTTCTCCCAGTCCCACCAGTATTGTCTGTTACTCTCTCTGCAACCTTGATATCCGTAGGAGCATATTTGACAGGCAGCAAGCACAACTCGACAACAAACAGTGACATGCTAGATTAAATTTGGACAGCCATCCATCAAACATCCTGCCTCTATTGTTGTTGCGCCTGTTAATAAGGGTTGCACACACGTTTCATACACTGAGCAAAAACTGTAGTAACATAGCCAGTATAAAAGGGAACACCACAGCCAAAAACCAACTGGATTATTCAAACCAAATATCAAACCAAGTTGAGAGAGAATCCTAAACAGTGAGCTTGTCAGAGACGGTGGTGCTATGATACAAGAAGCTACTAACAAAGTCTCAATTCATGTAGCTACAAAATAGGGTAAAATATTTTTTTATTTTTTGTTAAAAAGCCATCGTCACAAACCAACTGAAGGCTAAGATTAAATAGGGAGACCACAAAATTCATTTCTTCTCATTTTACATCTCTGCAAGAAGGGAATGAATTTGTCCCAAATTGTCAAACTGTTCTTCAGATAATAAGACCTTCAGATATACTACAAAATCCGTTTGCTGCCAAGTTGCAGCATGACTCATGAGCACTCAAGCCTCAGCACTGTACGTTACGGTTGTCTGTTCTCTCTGAGGCCAGACAGGGTAAAAAGCTTTAAGTGCAGCATATTGACTGAAGTGAGCTGCAGAGAGTCTTCACAGGCCTGTAGCACCTCATGATTCCAGACAGTCAAGAGTGGAGGTTGATCTAAAACCACCGCAGTGGCTGCAAAGAGACGCTGGATTACAATACACGTTGCTCTCCTTGAAATACTGGTAAGCAAAGTAACATACTGCTCGGCCAAGGAGGGAACTTTTTGATTTGTTACGGTGGATTACGGAACTCGATGGCACGTTTTGTAACTCTTGGCACATGACGTATAATAATTGCTCCGAATTATAGAAAATGAATCCAAGAGAAATTGAAAGAGGTGGCGTTTCTTGCATTTACACCACCACCATTAATTTCCCTCACTCACCGATATCATTTATTCTGGCAGATGGAAGCCCGGAGGCAGACTCAGGAGAGAATGTGATGTGTCGGACAGATTTGACCTCACGCCAGGGTTCATGTGTGCTTACATGCAGGCAGCAGACTGAGCCACTCAACTGTCTCTGAGCACTTAGCCCCAAAGTGTCATGTAACAAGTATTTTCAGATACACCTGCCCAGACTGTGACGGGAGTGGAGCTCAGACATTTCGGTGGGAGAAATAGTAGAAAGGTAGAGCAAGTATGTGAAATCTCTTATTATGTTCACGGCTTCACACAACCCCTAACACACACACATTTTCTTCTTTTTTTAAATTTATTTTCATGAGAACACAAATATAGAAATCTCTCAGATGATGCATTAATAATGATATCCACTTTCTAAATATAGTGTAGATTCTACATGCATTTTACAACAGAGAGAACCGCATAGCGCTGCTTTTATGTCTCATTGCAGAGATGCTTAGTTTGACTTGTATTTCCTATATATAATTAGTATAAATTATAGCATATGCAGTGCTATGCAAAAGTCTTGACCCACATATCTTTACAGTTTGCAAGGAAAATGGGATATCAGTGCAGGGATTTTCTTCTGTCATTTAATGGTCGGGCATTGTACAGCTACAAGCATTTCACCCCCATGTCATACTGTGTATGGTTGTGTGTGTGTGACAAATAAAATTTGAATTTGAATTTGAATTTGAAGCTCTCTTGTAATTTCTTTAGGTAGCCTTTAGGAATAGTTCTCCCGGCTCATCGAAGGACATTCAAAGATACAAAGGAGTATTATGGCCAGATTAAGGAAAAATAATATTATTGTTCATTTTCAGTGTTGGTCAAGTTACTTGAAAAAAGTAATCAGTAACTAGTTACTGATTACTTCCCCAAAAAAGTAATCCCGTTACTTTACTGATTACTTATTTTCAAAAGTAATTAATTACTTAGTTACTTTTACTCTTACAACCTGAATAGGTGATAAAGCGATAGATCTTTCAGCCCAATTCTACTTTTTCTACATAATCCATCATACAAAATGTAATCAAATGGAAAAGTCTCTTTTTTTAACTTGTTTTATTAGTTTTATTCTTTTAACTTTATGCATCAAGCAAAAATTTAATTATATGCAACATTCTCTGACTTGAATAAATTAGTTTAACATTTAAACCTATTTTCT